CAACGACAAAAGATTCCCTCTGAAAAATCCCCACAAACACAATTTCACCATAGCCATGCTCTAAGAAACCACCTCTATTGTGTGGGTTTATCACTGTGCAATAACTAACATCTAAATATATATTGGAATAATGTAAAAAGTGAATTCATAATATTTGAGAATGGCGTAATATATCTCCTTCCCCACTTAAGGAAATGACTGAATAACTCATTTGAGCCTTGTCAGTCTTGATTTAAACTTATTTCCTCTACCATTACGCATCCTCTCTCCAGCACACCGGTAGCATACAAAGAAGATGAATACAAGATGTCATAGTAAAGCATAACACAATATTATTCCTGTCCTACTGAAGTCATGAACCTGTCTATCAACATTTTCAGTTTCATGAAAAAGCACTGCAAGTCTCAACGTCTAAAAATACATTGCTACGGTCTGTATTGAACAGAAGTTAGACTCTGCTGCTACCAAGTTCTGGAACTCTGTAGACCTCTACAACTCAGCAGTCACTGAGCCAAATCATTATTTAGGACATTAAAAAAAAAAAAAAAAACACTTCAAGGCTGTTCCTCCTCCAATTGAAATTGATGGCAAAATTCCAACCAACTTCAATTGCAATAAGATCATGCCCTAAAAAACAGCTGCCTCAGGATTCTGCTGTGCTCCAACATGCAGCGAGATGTGAAAGGTATCTCTGCTCCATCCCAGTGCCCCTTGTAAGCTAGTGGAGCTCCATGAGCATGTTCATGGAGTTCCCCTTGATGACCTTATGCAGCTACCTCCTTACAAGAGAGCAAACGGAGCTGTCAATGTCAGCTGGGTAAGGCTACAGCTACACATTTATTTATTTATTTATTTCATGGCTTCCTTCTGGTGCTGATCACCATAATACAGTGTCTGAGTACTTCACAGATACTAATGCCTTCCCCATCCCATCCATGAAACCCGGAAGTACTATTATATCACTATTTTAAAGACAGGCAAACTAAGAAACACTGAAGTCAATAGACTTGCCCAGGTTCACACAGGAAGTCTCTGGCAGAACCACAGCCAGAACTAAGATGTACAGTCTCAGAGCCTTCTGCCTTAACCATAAGACCAGCCTTCCTTTACTGAATAATTATCTAGCATTGCTTATGTACAGTGGGTTAAAAATAATCCTTCTCTAGGCAATGGAGTCACACTGAACGCATCTTGAATATCCTATTGTACCTTGGCTACAATAACTATAATTTTATAGACATGACAGCAACTGACATGTTATCTGGGGATATTGTTTACTCTAAAAGGTTTAGCTCCTTCATGACACACTCAAGGGGCTTTCAATGGGCAAAGTAGAAAAAATAATTTCCAATAAATACTTTAGGCCAGATACTGGGTATGCCTACAGCACACTACACAACACTCTACCGGATTAACCTCCTCTCTGATAGCTCCTGCCACTCCGCTGGGCAGAATCTTAAAGGACAAGATCAAGGAATGAAGAAAACAATGCAACAGAACTGGGTCATGGACCACATATTTAAATGTTCCTCTGTTCCTCCAGTAAAAAGCTTGGTACAGCAGGTAAGGCAATAGATCCACTCTTTTAAACAGATTTCCCACCTTACTATTTACTATATTTTTAATTAAAGTGGTAAGAAACAAAGGAATGTGTTAGATTAGAATATATCTCAAATGACAGCCAGTGTACAGCCGACCTTACTTAAAAAAAAAAAATAAAAAAGGGCATTTTAATTCCTGTACTTGGATGTTGTTGGTTTGGTTTTCTTGTTTGTTTGTGTTTCCAATTTAAAAGTTCTCATTGCTCATGCACTTTTTATTCCCTGATGCTTTACTCCAGCAGGAGAAACATAAAAGGAGCAGACAACATTTTTTTTTCAGATGAACCCCACTTCTTAGTCTGCTTGGTTTCTATTTCTATTTCTCTTAAAAAAATTAAGGAAATAACCAAGAATATCCATCAAAACTATAGGTTGCTCATCTTCAAAGTACCTTACAAACTTCAGTTGCGTATTAAAGGCATGTCAGCAGGTATATCTATTTCCCATTAACCCTTAATATTTGTAACACATCACTGGCTATGTGTAAACATTTGTTCCCTCCCACTGCTATTCAAAGGCCCAAAGCAAAGGCCACTGCAGTTAATGGAACAGTTCCGATTGACTTCATCAGACTTCAAAACCCAGGTCCAAATCTTTCTATCTGTGTGAGCACCTCGGAACTCCAATATCAGACTCTGTAATAGTTCTTACTCCGAGAGTCTTCCAAGAGCATTGAAAAGAGCAATCAAGACAAGGGAAGAGCAGATGTTAAAATGACACAAATTTGGGCCAACTTACAGCCTTTGATATATTCACCTCACTACATTCTTCCATTAATGCAAAGTAAAAGGTAGCAAAGGCTTTCACTAATTGTCAAGTATCTTCCTTTCATATATCCAGATACAAAAAGGATAATTTTACACTGAATTTGAAAGACTAAGGTCAATGATTAATCAAGCACCAGGTGTCAATGTGATGAGTCAGCAGGACGTGTATGAAAGGGCTGTGGGAGGTATAGAAATGGATTGGAGGATTTGTTCAAGATTTAAAGGCTTTCAGGCTCCTTTACCTCCTGGTCCTCTCTCTAACTTTTATAGGAAGGAACCACCCTTGGGTATCAAGCCAAACCTTGTCACCAATTAGAGAGCTGATTTTCTGATCCTGACTGCACATACATTCATACATACACGCACACCCCTTTTCACATACTCTTTTAATGCTCTAACTCGTGCACATGATAGTTTCTAACATTTGGAAGTGACACTTTTGCACATTCCAATTCCACCATCTGCCCCCTCACAGATGTTCAATGTTTTCCAGCGTATGCAATGATATTAGTACCCCAAAAGGATATATGGAGGTGTGCACACACATAAAACTGCACACATGTAAGTGGGGGCGGCGCTGAGGCCCCAGTGAAAATCAGGCCCTACACTAGTCAGAGTGGTATTTTGGGTTCTCTTGGCTAGTAGTTATTTAATTAGATACACAGCCCCAGTATTTATTTAGGCTGAACTGAAAGATTGGAGCAGGGAGAGCATCGCATCCTAAGGGAGCTGAAAGTATTCATCTATTGACTAAAATAGCATTCTCTTCTCCTGTGATTTAATTTGTTCGATTAAGTCCGTAGGGGAACTGCTTCTTATTAGGCATTCAGGAATTAGCTCAAAGTCACTAAGCCATCCTAAAGCATTGAAATTTATATATAAAAATCTACCCTACCTAATACAGGATTCTGTGTGTACTTTCAGCTGTAGTTTTTCCTCCCACTGAAGATTAGGAGGGCTCAGATTTTTTGGCAGTTCTCAACAGTATCCTTTGCTGGCATTCTCTGTTTTTACGCACAACAGATCACTTTCACCTTCTTATGAAATTTACTGAAGTCTCAGCAGGACATATCGGTGCAATTAAAAAAAAAGTTGATTCCCTCTTCGAATGCAAAGGTGTAGGAGGTTAAGATATAAAGCAAACTGTTCATGCCAACACTTGGAGAAAACTCTAATTAACTGAATTGAGATGCTACAGTTGAGCCAGGAACTTAAAATCGTCTCTCTTTTTTTTCCCCTCTCCATTTATACCTCTACCACAGTCTACCCTCAAGCCATGCTTTAAAGATATTCCCATTGCCTTGGAAGTTATTGCAAAAGTATAGAACCAAATAGAGGTAGTTAGTTATGGCTGCATGCTGGGAGCAGAGCTGAGCTGCACCACCCCAGGGGATGCTCCAGGAAGAAGAATCCCTTCCCAAGCACAGGGGGTGTAGGCTGCACTACTTTCACATAATGGCCTGCTCTCCTCTCTGTGCTGGAGCAGATCTGCATCCTACTGTTGAGGGAATAGGGCCATAATCACATCCTAGTTCCCTTTCTAAAATGAAATGCAGAATGTAGAGGGCAATAACTTCTCCCTTGCAGGGACACTGGAACAATTTGTAGAGTGGGGATGCTAACAGTCATTGAACCAAACTGTAAACCCTGTGTGTAATGGAAAGCCAGCATCCCCAGCACCCCTAGATCCATCACCTATGCTCCCTAGATCATGTAAGCGCCGCAACAATAAAACTCATGGGGGGGGGGGGTGATCCAGCTTCTGTTGAAGTCAAGGGGTGTTTTGGTGTTCATTTCAGTGCAAGCAGGACTGAATCTATTATCTTTTCCACACACAGAACTGTCTTCAAATGCCCAATCCTGTGTTGCGTTGAGTGTCCTTGACTGCCACTAACCTCAATGAGAGATGAGTGCTCAGTATATCATAAAATCAAGTCCCAAATGCAAGCAGTTTCTCGGCTGGTAGCTTTTTGTTCCTGCTTGTGTTTTTGTTGGGTGGGGCGGTGGAGGGTTGGGGGGAGGGGGGGCTTGCACACTAATGGTGGCAATACGCAATCCTTACAGCTTTTTAAAGGGAGGTAGCGAACTGGCAGCCAGAAAATAAATGGTACCAATACTGAACTTTTAAGAAGAGCAGCCCCTTTTAGAAGTTTCCCCTTTAGAAAAGGCATTTAGGCTTTTGTTTTGTTTTTAAAAAAGGACACTTGATTAAGTGAAACAAAATTAGAAGCTCAAACAACATCTTCATATATTCTTCAAGTTTCCAGGCATGCTGAGTGAAGCACTCCACAAACAGAACAGACTGCACAACCGTGTATCACACTTAAATGTAATCACAGCTGAAAATAACATCAGCCAGTACCTACAGTACACTGAGGTATATTTAAGACTCCCCAATCAGCAATCGACCTTTCCTACATGTGTTCATAATCACAATGTACCGTTTCATTTTTATGCTTTGTTTTCTTTCTTACTCTATTGCGTTTGGTCACTTTAGAATATAGAACAGCTTTTTTCTTTTCTCCAATTGCAGTTTGGTTCCCAGGGGAGAGGAGGGGGAGGGAGGAAAGAGATGGCTTGTATTTCTCTTAAAAAAAAAAAAAAAAAAAATTTACAGAACACAATGTCTTACCTGTTGCAATCAACATGAAGCAGAAGGTGGGATGCGCTAAGTGACAGTGCAATCTTATGCCACTGTCCATCTGCCATCCGGTACGGGAACACCTCTGTTCTTGCCTTTCCATTAAATCTGTAATGATATCTAATCTCGTCCCTCAGGCCGCTGCTCTCCAGTTCAAAGTAGCTGTATTTGAAAGATGAAGAGTCAGTTCCATGTTTTAGACTGTGTTATCCCTGCTATCACCACCATTTCCCCCCTTCTGCTCTAAGGCTTAAAAACAGTTCATGCATTTGAAAATGAACTAATCACTACATTAGGTTACAAATGTAAAACAAGTTACATAGTATGGGTGTTAGATCTTGTAGTTTATTATTTTTAATAAAAGAGTGAGATAGGGCATAAAATATTAAATAATATCACTTATATGAAGATTGTGCATGTTAAAAACACCATTAGATAGCCTTGAAGATCAAAGTTCCCTTTTTTATCCACAGTACAAGCATCCCTCCACTGCTCTACCAATGTGCTTCATCTCTGGGCTGGATTTGAACGGGCAACCTAGAAATGATGGGCTCTATTCACATTACTAATGCCAAAGAAGAGGTACTATAGGAAGAATGCACCAGCTAATTAGCAGAGTAGTATCTACTTGCCACAAATCTCATTTTAAAATGCTTATTTTTAAATCTCTCCTCCAAAATTTGTGCTTATTCAATGTATTGACTTTTATTTTTAAGGCTGTAATGTTTCAGCTTTACAAGGAAATTAAAGTCACCAGATAGAGTAGGTCTCTCAAAACTTGGCACAGTCAAGCAGAACCCTGGGACATATGTCACAACAGAACAGTCACAGGATAGCACTTTCTTGCTAACAAAACAACATTTTTATTTGGCTCAAACTTCCATCAATAGTTGCTTCACACTTGCGGGAGGAACTAGAGAACCAGTTAATTTTTAAAGTGAGTTTAAGTCCCTGTAAAAGGTACCAGACTAGCAGTCTGGCAACTGAGTCACGCCCAGCACCAGAGCAACTTCCCCAAGCTGGTCTACAAGGGACAGCCTCTAGGGACAAGAGGGGAGACTGACCTCTATGCCTGTTTAATCCTAGGCCTATCATAAAATTGCCAGGGAAGGATGTGGGAAGAAACGAACAAGAGGAGAGTGGAACTAATGAGGACTGCACAATTCTCGTGGCCTTGAAGGAAGCATAAATGCACAGCCCTCCAATGCTGTAGGTATGCTCTGGGGCTTTGGGAGGGGACTGGGCATAAGCTAAACAGTAGGAAAGAGGGAGGAAAGGAGACTCAAAGAAGAGGAAAGAGGAGAGAAAACAGAATTATTGGGAAGAGACAAGAATGGAAATGGGAGAGGAGGAAGAGACAGTAGCTGTTTGCTGGTGGTACATCCAAGGGAGCTGGGATTGCTGCACCGGACACTGCATGCTTACATCACTGGTGTGGGGAGGAAGGAGTGCTTTGCTTCACTCTCTAGCAAGCCTCTCCAAAACAGGGAAGAAAATCAGTCTTGATGGGCCTTGCTCTCCACTGCCAAAAGGAGATTTCCATGATACTGCATTTGGAAGGAAGATGAGATCACAGAGGATGAACAGAAGAAAGGCGGGGACCCATACTGAAAGAAGACTAAAGACTGAAACACACACTAGTGGTGTGGAGGAAAGGTAATACACCTGCCCAACTCTTGAAAGCTAAAAATAGGAAGAACTGGAGAGAGAAAATAGGGAAGCATTTAAAGCCACTGAAATATATAGGCTTAGAGAAACTTTTCTGAGGGATAAAAAGGAGAAAGATGCCTGATTAGTTAAAAACTCCAGAGGTTATTAAAAATGAAAACATTTTAAACAGCTCATTTATTCTTGGCCATTCATGCCATTTGTCTACTTTTTGCATGTTGCACAGCATTGGCAGTTTCACTCTGGTTTGTAGTCAATTTCACTCTCTGGTTCTCATGTAGCAGCCCAATGGTGCATCATTTGGGATATAAATGCTTCCAGAGAATGACTACATCCAAACAGAAAACTCTTTGCACTCGTCAATTGACAAATACGTGTAATGCAGTTTTGCTTGTTTTGTAATATTTTCTTCCCCATCTTTACCAAAAAAAAAAAAAAAAAAAAAAACTAACTTTTTGGCCTAAAATACTCAACAGTAGAAATATGTAAAATCTAAAACAGTTTGTAATGAAGAGACAGACACTCAGAGAAGAGGAGAGAGGGAATAAAAAGAAGAGCCGTGACTTATTTCATTTAAGGGGGGGGGTTGCAGTTCAGATTTCCTTCCACGTACCAATCCAATTAATTGGGAAACTAAGAAGAAATATCTATCTAAAATGCTGGATTCCAGCCATCTGAGAGACTGCAAACCTCTCATCCCCTTAATGGACAACAATGAAATTAAACATCAAATCGATGGACAGAGGAGCCCTGCAAGTAAAATAGGATGGAAGAGAAACACTCTTAACCATTATTCTCTGATACATTCTACTGTTTCACATGACACATTTCACATAGTTATTGATTTTCTTTCAAATAGATAGAGGGAATTAACAATGCAGATTATCCAGTTGTTCAAGGCAATGATTCTCCAACTGTGGAGACCAGCACTCTTGAGCAGTGATGCTTCCAGTTAATTCCAGTTTAGTCTCGGATTATTTTAGGATTTTCAGAGATGTTTTTAACCAATTACTCTAAACCCAAAAACAAAAATACAAGCCTCTCTCCGCACCTCATGTGACCATTTCTTTGTCAGCTGTTCCTGTGGTGTGAACTCAGCCATGATCAAATTTACAGAGGACACCAAAATTGGTGGGGCAGCAAATACACAGGAGAGACAGAGTTACACTGCAGCGTGACCTGGTGAGACTGGAGTAGTGGGAGCTACAGGCAACAAGGGGAGAGTCATTACTAACAAATGTTAAATCCAAGAGCCCAGGGAAAGGAAATAAATCAGTACAGATAGAAAACGGGGAAATTAACTAAATAGCCACTCCCAGTGCATTAAAATGAGCTTATCTTCATTCTATCTAGGTTCTTATGTGGTTTTCATCATTGTAACATCTGAGAGATTTCCAATAGAATCTGCCGCAGAAAAAGTATGGGACTGGAATCATGGTCTTAGAGGAGAGCTAATCCTAAAGAAGTAGGCCCTTTTATTTAGGGGCCCACTATATGAACACTGGTTCAATGTCACCACAACCAAATCTAGTCAAGCCCAAAACAGAGAAAGCTGTTCCTTGCCGTTTCCTTTTCTTGTTCCTTATTGTCTTTTCTTCGCCAACACTATATACACCATTCTCTCATTTACATTTCCTACATAATCAGATCCTAAGGTGCACCTGAGCCCCATTCTGCTACCTCCTGGTCTCACCCTATGACCGTGGAGGTAGCCAGGGACTGATTTGACTCCAGATACAATTTAGAGAAGCCTCAGGACTGCTCTAATTTATATCTGTTAGAACAGTCCCCTAGGGGACTTTTGTTAGTGCACACCCCAAGATTGCAATGCATTTTGGCTAGTCTGGGAGGTTCCAGGGAGTGCTCCCTCTATGAAGTGCCAGCCAGAGACTCCAGCTGGTTGGAGCAAAAGCAGCCAAAGCAGGGACTGTTGCACTATGGGGAGTAGTGAAAATGGGGCCCAACCAGGGATACCCCTCACTCTAAAATACCTCTGGACACAGAACTGTGCAGGGGAGACCTCCCACTCTGCCCTCAGCACGTAGCCTTGCGGAAAAACTGCCAAGAGCAGCCAGCCTGAAAGTCCAGCCAGTAGTAGCAGAAGGAGCCAAAGCAGGGGCCTCTGGACATTCCAGTCAAGACTATAGAATATTCTCTGATTTTCTCTGCCTGGGCTGATTGGCTGTTTGCACCAACCCTCCATTTCCCTCACCAGGATCTTCACTTCAACTTCACCCCACAATGCCCTTCTTTACCCTCTGTTCCCCCTTACCCTGTCCCACTCACCGCTTCCCTTCTCTTTCCATTTAGCTGATCGCCTCCTAAGTAACCGTGCTCCCCAAATAAACAAAAATTGTGGAACTAACATGCCGTTTGCCGCCACCCACTGTTCACTCGCCTTGTGTGTTCTATACCTTCCCACACCCTGTGTCTGACTTGTCTATTTAAACAATATTGTCTCATTGTTTCCTTATACAATATTGTCTCTTTGCATCCCTCTGTTTTCTCTTGTCTTAAACTTTGATTGTAAGCTCTTTGGGACAGGGACAGCCTTTTTGTTCAGTGTTTGTAAAGTGCCTAGCACAATGGGGTCCTGGTCCATGACTGGGGCTCCTAGGTGCTGTAACACAAATAAATAAAATAATAAGTGCCACTAAAGGAGTACAAAAGTGAAGAATCAGGATTTGGACCAGTCATACTTTGCACTTAGAACAGGGCCCCTTCCATCTGAGAATCTTAGAGAACTTACAAATATTGATAAATTAAGCCACAAGATATACCTTTGAGGCAGATATCATCATCCCCATTTCACAGATGGGAACATAAGGCACAGAAAGGTTAAACCATCTGCCCCAAGGTCCCACAGGGTGTCACTATGAGAACTAGCAGTAATATTTAGGGACCCAATCCTAGCTTCCCAACTAGGCCACACTTCATCTGTTTCCACAATGATATCTCCTCATACTAGTGGACAGTGATGACAATTAACATTGTTAGGAGCAATTTATGATGTTCAGATATTACCACCTCAAAAACCCATAAAGTGGCACTTGGTTCTTGACTGCCAGCTCAGAATAAAGCAGGGGTAATAAAATAACATCTGCTTTCAAAAAGTGCACACGTTCGTTCTCCTTATGCTTTCCTGTCACTGATCTGCTTTGTCTATCACAAAAGGCTTGTACACTATTGACAACAACAAAAAATACTCTGGGCCTGATTTTCATTTACATGGAGGACTCTTTGCACAACTGTGGCACCAAAAGCCCATCTGTGTCCCCAGGTTTCAGAGCCCAAGCTCCAGCCTGAGCCGGAACTTCAAAGTGCTATCTACACAGCTATTTTTAGAGCACTAGCGTTAGCCTTGCAAGCCCGACTCTGTTGACCTGGGCTGGAAGGCTCAAAGCCATGAGCTGTGTAGACATGCCCTAACTAATAGGCCTTAGAGTGGGGGTAAATGTACATTGCACCAGTCTTACATAATTTGTCAATTAAGT